CACTTCTAATGTACGTAAATGGCGCTCTAGACATATTTTGAATGCAAGAGTATTTTGTACTCATTTACAACACATGACAAATTATGCGTCAGTCATCACCCATGATCTGATTACATCGCCCAGCCAGATGGATGTGAATAAGCTAGGAATTAAAGCCCGTGCCCGTGTGTAAGCCCGTGCTTGGCTTTGATTGCATTTTATAGCCAACTTGGCTATATTTTGCTTGCTTTTCCGAAACACTTGGGCTAAAAGTCGCAGGCTTTAACATCATCCGAAGAAATTGAATGGGCCCCTTGCATGTGCACATGTAGCAGGCCTAGCACGTAATGCCTAAGGTTGTGCACAGTAAGATGGGTTCCCGTATTTATTAAATATAAATATATTGTTATGTTCTTACGTCGTTGGCCAGCGCGCCGCGCCAGCCGTTACTGCGAATCATCCCACTGCACCAATTGGCCACATCAGCTAGACGAGCGCAGGGTCAAGCTCATCCGGGGCGTGTCCTCTAGGATGATTTGTGGTGACTCCCCCGTGCCGCGGCCTGCGCTCTTGCTCTTGGCTCTCCCCGCCTCAGCCACGGTCGTAGCGTACGGGCCGAAATCGCGCGGCGGCACCGTAATCGCGCGCGCACAACGCCGCGGCGCCACGGCAGGTATGGACGCCTTCCGACTGGACCTCGGCCCGGTGTGGAACGTCGGATCCAGCTGCCGCCGCCATCTCAGTGGGGCTCCTCCATGCTCTGCACCAAATCATTCGGTCGCCCAAGGTGGCCCACGCCGCGATTTTGGGACTGTGCGCGCTGCAGCCTTATCTTCACCATCTGTGATATTCATTCATTCACTGCTGCACTCGTCCCGCTTCCCCGGTCAAAAGCACGTGCACCGCGTCCCATCACTCGCTTTCGATCTCGCGCTATCGCACCCGCCAAAAGTGAGACGCGTTGCAAACGATGCTACACATCTCCACACTTTCATGAATTGCGCCGTGGCCGCCCGAGGTTTAAGAGCAGGGGAGTTCAAGGTTCAGGTTAAGTGTGCCCATCACCGTTTGCTTGGCATGCTTTTGTTTCTGTGTAGCCAGTGCGCCGCCACCTTCTTTTAACGTGCTTCTGTGTTGAAAATACGTTATTCGTCGCCGCCTAATAATTTAATAATGAAATAATAAAAATGAAAAAATGATAAAAAGTAAACATTTCATATTCAGACATAACCACCACTGCTACCAGTCATACATCATTTCAAGGTAACTCTTCCAACCCCGAACGGCTACCTCCCACCCGATCGTCTTCTCCTCCAATGCTCTTTTATCAAACATTCTTACTATCCCCGTCTACGTCACCTATCTTAGTTCGCCACCACTGCCATTCATCGTCCCTTCACCCCCGCATAACTATGCTCTCTTAGTTCTTCCGCACCTTCCGCCACATGCCACGCAAGCAGCTTTCACATGACCGCGTTCTCATGCTCTTCTGCGCCACCCCCCCCCCCCCCCCCCCCACCGCTCCACACACACACAGCTTTTTTCACCACATAACCGCAGTCACAAACATTCGGCGTAAGACACGGTGATCATGGCTTCTCTCCGTGTGTGAGTGACAAGTGTGAGGCTGACTGGTTCTGTGTGAGATACTGCTCGGGATGGATGGTGAGGTTTGGGTTACGGGCATAATGATATCGAGAGGAGTCCGTGGAAGGGTTCTTCCCCTGCTACACCCGTTTGACAGACTTGGGTTACGAACGCCTTGTCGGGCATTTCGTCTTCTCCCCCAGACTGTCTTCGGTGTTAACATTAGCTGACTTTAAATGCGATTCTAATTCGTCCATCCCTCTCGTATATTGATCGACCGATGCTTCCACTGGTCCTTATATTTTCCACTTCACCGACGTCCATTCCATTCCACACATTCGTCCCTCTATCACCGTACCCTGCACTCATTCGTCATACTCGTTATCGACTTCGGCTCCCACAAATTTGCCCCTCTAGTCCCCTGCAGTGGCACAAAAGGTCGGAGTGGAGTACCATTGCCTAATATGCTTTTAAAGTTAAAGCTTTTAGAAATCTTGAGCACACATTTGCAATGTTTGTTCTTGCTCATCTTAACGCGTCAGGCTCTGTCGCGTGAGGCGTTCGGGTTCATTTTGGTGAGGGGAAAAAGTGAAGCACAACCGAACCGATGGCTCTGGAGGCTATACTGAATCAGCCACAAGGCGAAGAACCGAAAAATTAGTGTTGTTGCTTTCATTCCGCGCTTGACATCCTCACGCATGATCGTTACTTAGGGCATTAAAATACTGAAACAGAAATCCAGACAACTGATTAACTCGTCCACAGCGTAGACCTAGAGTAAACTCTTCCTCCGTCGATAACAGTCCGAACAATCAAGTCTCCATGCTCGAAATGCGTACTGCAACAGGGCCGGTAATCCGAAAATCCATCCCCTTGCTGACAAATCCTAGACTTTCAAAACGATCGCGTGACGAATAATTTATTGAAGGATTGCGGAGTTTAAAAACATTCGAAATGAGCGATTGCACTACGGTACTCACAGGACTCAACGGGTTTTCGAGCAGTCTTTCTGACCTCAATGTGATGCGTTATGTAAAGCCATTGAAATAGAAAGAACTTCAATGCACGTCAGCTGTTCAAAAATTACAGAAGTGCGCGCGTCGTAAACAATAGTAAAGCATCGAATCGCAGAATCAGTCTTTTCTTATTCCATTTTTTCTTTCTTGTTTTGTGGAGACTCATACTAGTTGTTAATGACCGGTAATATAGAATGCTTTGCAATCTACCCGATTTTCTACCCAATCTGCTCAGAACAGTGCGCATCGCAGCAAGTGGCTACTTGTCCCATCATAATTCAGGGCTCCAGTTATCGTTATGTAACGTGCCAGAGAACACCTATGTGCTAGCCAGCGAATGCTTGCGTAGTTTGGCGAGCGCCGCTTAGAGGCGCTCTCGTTCCTCTCCTTCTGCCCCAGACGCGAGGGACGCGGCCGCGGGGGCCAGAAGAGGAGAGAGTAAAAAGAAGACTCGGAGAGCCGCCGGTGCGAGGACGGACGTGCCGGTGCGAGGACGGACGTGCCGGTGCGAGGACGGACGCGCCGGTGCGAGGACGGACGTGCCGGTGCGAGGACGGACGCGCCGGTGGGAGGACGGACGCGCCGGTGCGAGGACGGACGGCGTGGAGTGCCTGTGACGAGTGTCTATATATGTGTCCATGTATAAATATAGTGTCTACATATAAATATAGAAGTGACTTTGAACGCACCGCGTATGCCAGTGAGCAGGAGACGAGACACCGGAACAGCAGAACTTACGAATAAAGATTTGTAGTATTCCCGAATTGCTGACAGATTATACGAGGATGGTGTGCAATGTGCGTCACTTCTCACCAAGTCACGTCAAGGGCTATGCGCGTCGCAAGTAAACAGCCAAGTGGCGAATAAAATAAATCAGGTATTGTTGACCCCAGTTTTCCTTAAATTTTTGTTAAGTTAAAGAACAACTGGTGAATCGAAATGTACGTTTTACGGTAGACTTACATTTATAGCTGTGCGCGATAATATATTTACATCAATAACTGTATAAATTAAGTGCAACATTCCAACTAGCAGTCCTTCCTTTCACACCTAACTTTGCATGAAGACTCGTGCAGGTTACGAATTTAACGGATGCCCGCGATCAGGGTCTGGATACCTGACCTGATTACGGTTCGTTTGCGCCATGTTTGTTCTGCCCTTACGTCCCTCGCGTTCCCCCTTAAAATCACGGCGTGAAATCATTAAAATCATATTCATGCAACCACTGTATTAAATTATAATCCACATTCACACATCTATGCACACGGCACTTAGTTGCATGCAAGCAATAGAACTTCTCTCCCCGACAATACTTATGACGTAACCTTACATACAATACAACCTGCCGGGCGCGTGATCCCTACCCTGTATAAGTAGGGGTCAGGCGCTGAGCAGGTCACATTCACATTAATGGTTTCTACATCATGCTTTTGCCGGGTGGGGATTAATTCGCCCTTCGCGGGTACTAATCCCCAGCCGGTACGTGACTTGCCCATCGTGTCTGGTTAGTATCCCTTAAACTAGTAATATCTCTGCAGCGTTTTCGCATCCAGCTGGCGTCTGAGAAGCAAGGGAGAGCGAAGGGAGCGTCGGAGGGGGGGGGGGAAGGAGGTGAGAAGACATGGCCAAAGAGGGATGGAAACGGGGAACAGACTGCAGTGCGTCAGCTCTTCGTCGCAGCTTCTCCATTCACATGATGATGATTGGAATTGTCGGGCGAAGAGCGCCGCCGTCCACTGAGAGCCCTCAGAGTCCGTTGGTCGATCTGCCCAGAATCCAGCTGCTGGTCTCCTCCGGTCGTGGTTCCGAGTGGCTGTCCTCTTCCTGAATGTGACGCTCCCCCGGTTTTGTCCGAAATGCTCCTCTTCTGAGCTCCGGCCATCAGCTAAGCTCGCTCCCATTCATGCTCATGTTCATGTCCGTTCTGCATGGGCTCTCTCCGATCGGCCGGGACTCGGTCTCCAGCGCTGCTCGGACTCGGGGTCCGAACTTGCCCGCGGCGGATGGTGGTATCAGCCGGCTCCGCTCTGCACGGGTCTTTGTTGGTCGTGTGCTGGCGGTTTGTCGACCCCGGCGCAGCAGCCACGCGAGCGGTGTGGGACGCGGCTCCATTGGACGCCCCGCTCCCCTGCGGCCCCCTGCTGCGAACATGCTTCTAACACTCTATGCGTCGGGCGTAGCTTATGCCGGGCACATCCTGCGTTTCGACCAGGGCGTCTCGTCTTGACGATCCCCGTTTTCGTCCCGGCCCGCAGCTGCCCTTTCGGCGCGGTCTGTGCGCTTAGATGCCTTGCCCGACCGACTGACCGATCGCTGGCTTTCTTTGTTACATATCGCGGCCCGGCGGCTATGTCAAATTGAAAGCAATTGCAAGGGAGATGCAATAGGAACAATACCAGGAAGACATTATATACACTAGGCATTAGTCAAATATAAGCTCCGCCTCACATCGCCGCAAGTACACCAATGACCTTGAGAGGTCGGGACTTTCTGAGGGAAATTTTTTTATGCGCTGATGAATATTCTGGTGTTTAAAATCCGAAATCGGCCGGTAAATTTCGAATTCTTGGAGTTCAGCGTCCTCTGAAGTTGGAGTTGACCTCGGAGGGCGACCTTAAGAAGTCAAATGATTAGACGAACGCTATCTCATGACCTGGTGAATATTCTGGTGCCTAAAATCAGAACCTGGCTGATAATTTTTGGTTATGTGAAGCCCTCGTCACGTGGTATTGGACATTGTCGTCGGATTCGGCGTTCTCGTATTATAATTGACCATCCCACAGGCTTTGAGTTGAATCAAAACTTGTCACTAAAGGAGTTGCCAAATAAATCGCACGTGCCAGAGGTTCATGCTTCCTGGCAATGATAAGACACTACTCTTCCCAAGCTAATTCAACAACGGGACAGACATTGAGTCACGGTGCCCGCACATCCGAGCTGATGCGTCCGTCTACAGCTTCTCAACCTTAATGTGGATGGGGTAGAAGCCAGAGAAGACTGAAGTGCCCTTGCGGTACACCAGCTTTGTCTCGGGTGCGGCGATCAGCCGGTAGCGCTGCAGCACATAGGCCAGCACGAACTTGACCTCCATGGTGGCCAGCCGCATGCCAATACAGGCGCGCGGCCCCAGGCCGAACGGCATCCAGTTGTACTGGCCGAGCTGGCGACCCTCCTCGCCCAGCCAGCGGTCTGGCAGGAAGCGCTCCGGCTCCGGAAACACCTCCGGGTCGAGGTGTAACGGCCAGACGGGGATCGTGACACAGGTGCCGGCCGGCAAGCGCAGGTTGCCGCACTGCCAGTCGCGCTGGCAGGTCCGCTGGTGACGCGGAATGAACGGCGACACGCGCAGCGCCTCCTGCATCACGGCCTCCAGCAGCGGCAGCTGCTGCAGCGCCTCGTACGTCAGCTCCACGCCGCTGATCTCCTCCAGCACCCGTGCCATCACGTCGGGGTTGGTGGCCAAGTGGTAGGCGCAGAGAGACAGCGTGTTGCCGGTGGTATCGTACGCGTCCATGAGCAGGTTGGCACCCTGCAGCAGCAGCACGTCCTCGGTGATGTCGAGCTCGCGAAACTCCTTCGTCGGCACCTTGTTGTCGATGGCGTCGATAAGGGCGCCGACTAGGTCCGCCCGGTCGGCGCCGGTTGCGCGTCGCTCCTTTACCGACTTGCGCAGGATATCCGTCAGCAGTTGGAGCGGCGGCGCCATGAACTTGCTCATGAGCATCGAGCTGAGTTTCGGCGAGAAGGTCAGCAAGCCCGAGATGACCGGACTGGAGAACTCGTCGCCACCAAAGGTTTTGGCCGCCTTGACGAACGGGTGGGTGCTGTCGCTTATGTTGGGTACTTTCAGGCCGAATGTGAACTGGGCGACGGCGTCCAGCACCAGCGGCCCGAACAAAGCGTCCTTGATCTGCACCACGGGACTCTTGAGCAGCTCCTGGTCCAAGCGTGTGCAGGCGTCGCGCGCACAATGCTCCAAAGTGGGCATCATGGCCTTGAGCTTAGCGCCCGTAGACAGAGCCGGAGTCAGGATCGCCCTCACCACCTTCCAGCGGTCGTGCACAAGCATGTCCAGCAGGTCTTTCGTGGCAGAAGAGTAAAAGTTGGCAACAAATCGCTCGCTGAAATTACTAAAGTCCTTGATAAAAATGCGCTTTACCATCTCCCGGTCAGCGATGAACACCTGGGGTGTGGGGCCCTCATACAGACCCCACACGCCGTTGAACTGCTTCGCGTGGCGCAAGTCCTCCTCCCTGAGATAGAGTCGCCATGGGCGCGGCACGCTGCCCACGAACGGGTACGGCTTGATGACGGGAATGCCGAGCTTCTCCAAAGTCCCGTAGTTGCGCGTGCCGTACTTGTACAACAGAAGCAGCACCAGGACGACCAGCAACACCGGCAGCAGGGCCACCAGCTCCATGGCCGGAATTCGCACGGCTCTCACAGCTTGAGCAAACTTCCAACCGCCCACTGCGCGCGACCGCGCCCGCCGTTCTCGCCGCCGCCTCGGATGAGGCCAGCCCCGCGCGGCGGCGGCGCGAGATCGACGCAGAGGTGGCAGTCTCGTAGCTCCAGTGCCCATCCGCCTGCCAGTTTAAGATCAGGATCGTCACCGCAGGGCGCCGACGAAAGGAAGCAAAACCAGCGTCGGGTGAACAGTCGTCGAGTGTGCAGGTGAAATGTTGCCAACCTGCTCACTGGGCCGGGCTATACGCCTCGTCGGGGCCTGCTCTGCCGAGGCCGGACAGCGCGCCGCTCCCGATAGTTTGCATCTCTAACGACGGCACACGCTGACGGCGCACAACTCAGCAGCGATCCAAGGCCACACTGTCGTGAGCGGTGAATGGGGCAGTCATAGTCTGTGTACAGAGCGGAGTGCGGCGTTTGTGCTGCGTCATGCCAGAGGCGCGCTCAGAATTGCGCGTGGAGGAGTTGAGTTTTTTTACACGGTTATTAGCTCGGTTATTAATTTTATTAATTTAATTATTTATTCGTTCTTAATTCTTCGTTAATTAATTTCCATTATTCGTAAATAAATAAATCGTTAGTTATTAATCCGCATCAGCGACCTTTCATTGGCGCCATGTCGTTAACGTAAATGCGTTGCCCGATGCACGCATTGAGGCACGCACACCAGAGTGTCACACACAAAAGTTTAGAGCGTCTTGGAAGGACGGGCGCGTTCAAACTTAACGATCAGAAGGGGCACTTCGCTCTAATGCCTGCGTTCCCCGCTCCCCTCTGGATCCGCCCCTGCAAGACTACCACGTTTAAATTATATTGTTAACTAATATTTGTGCCGCTGTTTTAATGATGCCACAGAGCACAAACTGTAGCGCCGTTCGTCAAAATAGCGGACTAAATCCATTGGGAAGAAATGGAGGAGGATAGGTGGTCGGATCCTCGGCTCGTCCTCGCCTCCAATCATTCATAAAAATTGGCACTCCATACGGCCCGCCTCCAACATACGCTGGCAGATACTACCGCCAGCGGCGATGAGAAAACCAGGAGTTTGCGGGAGCCATTTTGCGAACAGTTCTGATTTCAGGGACGGGTTCACCCGGCGCGAGAGCCGAGCAGAGGCGAAACAATGGAGCACGTAGCGCCGCAAGCGTCGCGCAGTGCGTGCACCGGCCCGCCTGCTGACACCCGTCTCAACACCAGCCGGCCGGAGCCTGCTGGCGCTCGCAAGCCTAAGAAACAAGAACCCTGACTATGGCGGCTTCAGACTATCAAGCATTTCCTGGAGATGCACCCCGAAGTCAGCTACATTCGATGCGGCTTTTTGTACCGTATTGGCAAAATATTATAATCTGATGCCATTATTGGGATACGCCGATGGGAGGCTTCGCCTCGGCCGACCCTGGCAGTCAGGCACCTTCCGTGTAGCAACAGCCCCGCCCTCTTACCGACTGAACCGACATATCCCCGCCTTCAGCCAAATGAGGTGGCGTAGCGGCAACGCCCGTTCCTGCCCACCGTACCCACCTCCCCCACCCCCAACGCATGGTCCGTGCCCCGTGTTCACACCGTGCCTCTCATGGATTGCGGTTGCTCGTCTTTTCCCTTGTCCAGAGCGGCTAAATGGGCCGGTTTAACACAATACCGTACACGTCCTTTGCCGGTCAAGTGAACGTTGACGGGATGTATTTTCCAAAATAACGCACGGAGGGTCATCCTTTTAAGCGGTCCACCTCTTCATAAAACAGATCACTGCCATATGTAAAGCATCTCACCCAAGATCCACTAAAACAACTTCTGCAGGTTCAAAAAACAGGCGAAATGGCAAGAAACATGCCTCACGCCGTCACGCCGGCCACAGAACCCAACCGTCCGACAATGGGCAGAGATCGGCGGCGGACGCCAAGAACACGGTCCACGTACGCGTAGGATATGATCTTCGGCCACGCGTCGTGAGGGGGGTCACGGGCTCCATACCGCACCTTACCACCCCGAGCCACCTCCCAGAGCCGCGGTACCGGCTGAGGCTCGCGCCTCGCCAGCCCGTCCCGAACACGACGCGGGCGCACCCGCGCACAACAGTGCCTACGACTTGCGGCACCGTCCGTGCGGCAGCGCGGTCCGAGCAGGCGAGCTCAGTCCGAGTGAGCGCGCTCAGCCCGAGTAAGTGAGCTCAGCCCGAGTGAGCGAATTCAACCAGAGTGAGCGAGCTCCGGCGGCGAGCACGGCCACGGTGAAAACGGCCGCTGTGACAGCGCGAAACACATCAACAGTATGGACGACATGAGAGATAAAACAACCGCTGCCCACGTGAGCCACGCGGAGCGGAAGCCCCGCGGCGGAAGGAGGCCGTTGAGCTTGGGTTTGCATGACGTCAACCGAGCGCCAGACGGAGCCGACGGCCACTCTCGGGCGGGTCAGACAGGCGCCTGGCCGTCTAGCTACCAGCGTATCGCCGGCCGGATGATCGCGGCGCCGCGCCCCACCCGGCAGGCACGTGGCAGCGCAGGGCCGGCTCACGACGGGGGAGGAACCGACGCGCCTGAAGCTCACAGCCCCGCGGCTGATGTGGGAGAAAGCTCTCGATGTGGTGGCAAGCTCGCACGTGGCGGGAAGCTTTCATTGAAGACCTAGGTGAAGAGCGTGCTCAGGCGCGGCCGGCGAGCCAGCCCACCCGATTCGCCGCCGCCGTCGGCCGGCGCCGGGCAGTGTCGCCGCCCGCCGACAGAGGCGCTGCCGTCGCCGCACTGAGTCCGCTAGTACAGCTGCTTTAGCCGCTCGAACGAGACGAAGAAGATGATGTTCCAGGGGCCCAGGCGCAGCCAGGTAGGCACGAAGCCCTTGTAGAGGGCCCGACAGCCCTCGAAGCGTACCGTCTGCAAAACACAGGCGATGCCGACTGATGTTGATGACGTCGACTGAGACGAGGGGGCGGGTCGGCTCGTATCCACTCGCCATTGGACACAACTGGCAACACACACACACACACACACACACACGCACACGCACACGCACACGCACACGCACACGCACACGCACACGCACACGCACACGCACACACACACACACACACACACACACACACACACACACACACACACACACACACACACACACACACACCACACGCACGCACACACGCACACGCACACATGCACGCACACGCATACGTACCATACAGGCACGGTTCGCAATAACGACCCAATTAGCCAGCCCTGCACAAACACAAACGATGGCTGTTTCGTTGACCAGGCGTCCGCATTACTGAGTCCACCACATCGATACCGAAGGCGGGTGCGTGCCGTCGACAATAACGCACTGGCAGCCGCTCCGACTGGCATTGAAATTACTCGAGATCGGCGGGAGCTCGAAGCGGCAGGCGTCTCCGCCGCCGCAAGGTCGCGTGTCCGATCGTTGACCCGGGTCCGGTCCGTGCCCAGCCGTCCGGCCCAGCTCGATAGGACGACGCCCAGCGGCGCCAGGCCGGCGCGGCTCCGTACCTTGACCAGGCAGTCGAGGCTGCTGCGGTAGTAGTGAGCGGGCACCAGACCCTCGGCGGTGGCGGGCGCCGGGCCCACGCCGGCCCGCAGCAGCGTCCGCTGGTTCATCATACGTGTCTGGCGACGGCAGGCGCACGGTCACGGTCACAGTCACAGTTATAGTCACAGTCACGGTCACAGTCATGGTCACAGTCACAGTTCACAAGTCACGGTCACAAGCTACGGTTACGGTCAGTCACGGTCATAAGTCAAGGTCATACGTCACGGTGACGGTCACAGGTCAAGGTCACGGCCACATGTCACGAGTCACATGTAACGGCCACGGTCACGGCCACGGCCACGGTCACGGCCACGGCCACGGCCACGGTCACGGTCACGGTCACGGTTACGGCCACGGCCACGGCCACGGTCACGGCCACGGCCACGGCCACGGCCACGGCCACGGTCACGGTCACGGTCACGGTTACGGTCACAGGTCACCAGCGCGGCCCGGCCGGACCGCGGCGCGTACTGTTACGCACCCGCCGCGTGCCGTCCTCACATGGTACACACGGTCAACATCAGACGTATGACGCACATTTACATCCATCCCAAAGCCACACGCAGGAGGACACGCCAAACGCTGCGACCAACGTTCGGCGCAGGCCCGGGACAAGCACAGCCGCGGTAGGCGCACACAGGCTGTCTGATGTTAGAGCGTCCTCCACAGCAGACCAGATCACCACAGCCAGCCGACGAGCGCGTAGTCCGCCTTCCTCAGGCCACGCCCGCACCAGCACGCACCCGGAGGACGTCGATGGGCGTGGAGGCGACGGCGCCGCCCAGGCTGGAGAGCAAACTGGACCTGCGGGACGACAGAGCTCAGTCAGCTGACCCGCGGCCGGCCCCGACGCCGGCTGGCGCCGACGGCTGCCGGCTCGCCCCCTCCGCCCCGCCCTCAGCCCGGCGGACGCCACACGCCCCTCTGAGGGGTGGCCGAGGCGGCGGGCGTCAGCGCCGACCCCGACAGGTGACTCGTGCGTCGGAGACGCGTGACTCTGATCTTGACCCGCACTGAGTTCATAGGCTTGTTCACCGTTGCATCCCGCCAACCGATAGAAACTTACCACGCCAGGGCAATAGTTCAAAGGAAGAGTGCCACCTTTAGCTCTGGATCGGACGCTGAGAATGCGTTTGTGTATAAATGCGTCCAATTCGTATCGCAACGCAAACTTCCTGGAAGTGATTCCTGTCTCCCGTGCGAAGCTCTACATCCCAAACAACGACTTGCGCAAAACTGTTCAATGCCCATCAGAATTGAAAATAGCTTGTTGTTCATCAATGTTTACCCGGATTTGTCCACAGGCGGCTGAAGTATCCATCCATTTATATGTATAACAACTGAATCACCTCTGTATTTAATAACATGACAGCTCTCATACCTTTCTTTGACAACAAACATGCTTTCCATCCGAGTAAAATGCGGCTGAACCGCAGTATTGTCAGGCTTCAGCGAATACTGCAGATTCCTTTTCGTGCGAAACGCCAGTCGAGCCGGTGCGCGCCTGGACTGATCGTTTATAGCGCCATTCAACATGAACATATATGAACCCTGCTGCTCAGTGCTGCTGTGCCCCGTGCTGATGGCGGCGACCAGCCTTAAATGACTATCATCTGTCAACAACTCTGATAATTTTTTTAGAGCTGTGGCGTGGCTTAGGTAGTACGTTTCGGATGGCCCGGGCGTGCTTCTACGCGTCACTGCGAAAACTCCCGTCTCGCAATCGTCGCAAAGGCCATTCGCACAAGCCTCTAAAGGTGGCACTCTTCCCTAGAGGGTTATAACGTCAGGTATGTAACAAAGTGGTTTTCAAAAATACGTTACGGTATCGAAACTGTCAAAAACTTTGTACTTATCTTACTTTGTACGCTCTCCATGAGGTTCTTACTCCGTTGAAGGCAAGAGAAGGTTAATGCACTTGACGTGGAGACGGGGATCGAGAAAGGAATGTGTTCCAAACATTTTCAACGCGCTTCGTCTCACAGGAAACGATTTTGTAGCCTTGTAGCCTGTCGAAGCAATTCGCAAACATTTCTGCTTTCGTCCAAATGCCTTGCGCGACGTACATGGACTTATCGCAAACATAAAGATCGTTTGTTTTATTGTAAGATGGCAGCATGAACAGTTCGCAAGCTTGGTATCCTCCCTTGGATCCAACAGCCAGAGGTCTTTAGTTAATCGCATGATATTCGCGTAGTGCTCAAACGCATATTTGGAAAAGTTTTTCGCACCAAGCTTTCGCGCACCAAGGTCACATTGACATCCCGAAACTCATGCTGTACGCTTGAAAAATGCGCTTTAACATCACGCAAGAAGGCTCAAAATGTCGCTTACAGACTAAATGCAAATCACACGCATGAATACCTTAATTACACTTCCACGTGGAGAAAATTGCATAATCTTTTCCAGAAAAAAAACGAACAAAAAATGGGTCAACGTCAATAATTGTCAATCCAGAAGTTAAATTTGCGTTTGTACTACATTCACTTGACACATTTGTGTGCAAGCCTGTGGACTCGACGGTCTACAGAGCATACCATGACCGGTAGATGACGCAGAACATGGGACAGTTATGTGCGGGGGAGGGGGAGGGAGTTGTAGGTAATCCGGGCTGGGGGCAAATAACGGGTTACAAAACGGCAGGGGTCACAGAGGAAGCTAAAATGGTCACACACAACGGCCATAAAAGAAGGTGACAGAGGAAAGTCACAAAGGTCACAAAGGAAGGTCACAAAACGGAAACCAAACAGATGGCCAGCTGGATTAAGGTAGACAAACGAAAAATAGACAGGACCGTTGGCGAGACGGACGGCACACGGGTAGATGGGGCCGCCAGCCGAACAGGGAAGGTGCGGAACAAGGGACAGAGGCAGGCGCGGCCGCCGCCGGCGCTGGCGCCGCGGGGCCGGCGGCCGCGCCTGACCCGACTCTACCTGGCGTCCGCGCCGCTCACACCATAGTGTGACGCGCCACGAGCGCCGCGCCGCAGGTCTGCAATAGACACAGGTGAGAGGCGACGGCCAGCACCACACACGCACGCCTCACACTCGGCGCTGGGTGGGGGTAACAGCCGGGCACACCGGGGCGGGGCAGGCTCCGGTCCATACGGGGCGGGGCGGGGCGGGGCGGGGCGAGGCAGGGGGAGGAGGCAGGCCAGGTGACAGCTCGCCAGTGCGACAGGAGGAAACACTATCCATCTGTGACGGAAGATGACCTGGGCTCAGATGAACACTGACACGGTCCGGTGAGGACGGGCTCCGAGGACCACCGACACGGTCCAGTGAGGACGGGCTCAGAGGACCACCGATACGGTTTAGTGAGGACGGGCTCAGAGGACCACCGACACGGTCCAGTGAGGACGGGCTCTGATGACCACCGATACGGTTTAGTGAGGACGGGCTCAGAGGACCACCGACACGGTCCAGTGAGGACGGGCCCAGAGGACCGCTGACACGGTACGGTGAGGACGGGCCCAGAGGACCGCTGACACGGTACGGTGAGGACGGGCCCAGAGGACCGCTGACACGGTACGGTGAGGACGGGCCCAGAGGACCACTGACACGGTACGGTGAGGACGGGCCCAGAGGACCGCTGACACGGTACGGTGAGGACGGGCCCAGAGGACCACTGACACGGTACGGTGAGGACGGGCCCAGAGGACCACTGACACGGTACGGTGAGGACGGGCCCAGAGGACCACTGACACGGTACGGTGAGGACGGGCCCAGAGGACCGCTGACACGGTACGGTGAGGACGGGCCCAGAGGACCGCTGACACGGTACGGTGAGGACGGGCCCAGAGGACCACTGACACGGTACGGTGAGGACGGGCCCAGAGGACCGCTGACACGGTACGGTGAGGACGGGCCCAGAGGACCACTGACACGGTACGGTGAGGACGGGCCCAGAGGACCGCTGACACGGTACGGTGAGGACGGGCCCAGAGGACCGCTGACACGGTACGGTGAGGACGGGCCCAGAGGACCACTGACACGGTACGGTGAGGACGGGCCCAGAGGACCGCTGACACGGTACGGTGAGGACGGGCCCAGAGGACCACTGACACGGTACGGTGAGGACGGGCCCAGAGGACCGCTGACACGGTACGGTGAGGACGGGCCCAGAGGACCGCTGACACGGTACGGTGAGGACGGGCCCAGAGGACCACTGACACGGTACGGTGAGGACGGGCCCAGAGGACCACTGACACGGTACGGTGAGGACGGGCCCAGAGGACCACTGACACGGTACGGTGAGGACGGGCCCAGAGGACCACTGACACGGTACGGTGAGGCAGTGAAACGGCACGGCAGCCGGCGCGCCCCCCGGGGACCGGCGGACGGAGCGGGCGGCACTGACCGACCCAAGCGTGCCCCAGGACGGCCGGGTCCTGAGACCGGCCGTATTCGAAACAGGTCGGCACGACTGACGGCCATCTAGGCCACCCGGCGCAGCCCGTCCGGGGCTGAAGGCCGCGCAACACGAGCCGAGAACTAGTTGAGTGTCTAAAGGGCTGCACGGTACGGCGTTCTTAAAGGGAATGCTTCGCCTCTTAGACGTAATCAAAGAAGATCAAAGCATAATTAGACACAAAGCATAGGTAAACAGTTTGATATCATGGTCATGAACCATCGGCTTTTGCAACGAAGATTTGGATACAACAATATTGAAAAAAGAAAACATTCAGCCTCATTGCGTCACATTAAGCCCTACGTCGCTAAAAGCCACTTAACCACCAATCAACCGACCAATCATGTTCATCGCCGGAACATTCTGACCAATGGGAGCGCCAGCATACATACCGCGCGCACCATTCATCATCATTGAATGCGGCCTTCGTCCATGTGGCATCACTAAGCAATGAGCATGTCACGTATCATACAATACAAGGACATACCCGAAGCCAGACGGATCCCAGACTAGTCGCAAGCCAGCTCGAGACAGCGAGCGTTTCAGCTCTTACTCCGCATTGTTTACGTTGCATATTTACAATCTGAGGCCTGCAATTTGGCTTTATCAACTCAAAACATTACCGTGAAACATTCCCTTAAAACACCTAACACAGTTTGTCTTCATCAAGGCAAATCTCGGCCCATATGATTTTGTAGCTGCTACTCAATACAGCCCGTTTTCATAGATCAGGATTGTTGATCGGCTAATGATCGCTTCGTGAAGATCGATCGTGGCAGCCCGTAGCCCCGCCGTGCTGCCGACTGAGCTGTCGTTTCATCCTTGCCGTCACATCCGGCCCACCCGACCACCACTAGCGAAGAGGAGGACATAAACGTCCGGTTTACCCGACCGCCACTACCGAAGGGGAGGACATAAACGTCCGGCTCACCCGACCGCCCCTACCGAAGGGGCGGACATAAACGTCCGGCTCACCCGACCGCCACTGCCGAAGGGGAGGACATAAACGTCCGGCTCACCCGACCGCCACTACCGAAGGGGCGGACATAAACGTCCGGCTCACCCGACCGCCACTGCCGAAGGGGAGGACATAAACGTCCGGTCCACCCGACCGCCACTACCGGAGGGGAGGACATAAATGTCCGGCTACCCGACCACCACTGCCGAAGGGAGGGCATAAACATCCGGCTCACCCGACCGCCACTACCGAAGGGGAGGACATAAACGTCCGGCTCACCCGACCGCCGCTAGCGAAGGCGAGGACATAACGACAGAGGGGCAGACCAGGTTTCTGGTTATAACAGACGGGAAAGAAACGAAACAGAACGTAACGAGCAGGCCAGCACATGATCAAATAAATCAGAAAAAATAAGATCATCTTTACATGAAAAAGCACTACTAGTGTTAAAGTCAGTAGGCAAACCAAAACAAACAGCTAAGCGCATTACCAGTGAAGTTGGTAATCCGCAAGTCACCTTTAAATACATTCTGACTTTATCCGTTTCCGGTCCAGATCTGAATCACTTGGCGGCGTTAAAAAACCTTGCAGATAAACCTGCATGGCCTCACGATTCCAACGACGGCTCATGCACAACACCCACTCTCCCACACAGCTCCAGCCGTGCTTGTTAGTTCACTCACAGCGGCGGGGGCGACGGTGGCGTCGCCTCGCGGCGGGCCAGGGCACTCACGCGAAGTGGTTGCCGGAGGAGTCGCCGATCAGCTGGTGCTGGATGAAGTAGCGCTTGAAGAAGTCGTACAGGGGCAGCTCGACGCCAACTATGACGGCCGCCCTCTGCGCCGTCGGACCGACGCCCTGCCGCCGCGCGGCCCGCGTCAGGCCAGTGGTCACAGACAGTCACTGCTCCTCTGCCGCGGCCCGCGTCAGGTCAGTGGTCACAGACAGACACTGCTCCTCTGTCGCCGCGCGGCCCGCGTCAGGCCAGTGGTCACAGACAGACACTGCCCCTCTGCCGCGGCCCGCGTCAGGCCAGTGGTCACAGACAGACACTGCCCCTCTGCCGCGGCTCGCGTCAGGTCAGTGGTCACAGTCCCTGCTCTTCTGCCGCGGCCCGCGTCAGGTCAGTGGTCACAGTCACTGCTCCTCTGCCGCGGCCCGCGTCAGGTCAGTGGTCACAGACAGACACTGCTCCTCTGCAGCGGCCCGCGTCAGGTCAGTGGTCACAAACAGTCCCTGCTCATCTGCAGCGGCCCGCGTCAGGTCAGTGGTCACAGTCACTGCTCCTCTGCCGCGGCCCGCGTCAGGTCAGTGGTCACAAACAGTCCCTGCTCCTCTGCCGCGGCCCGTGTCAGGTCAGTGGTCACAAACAGTCCCTGCTCCTCTGCCGCGGCCCGAGTCAGGTCAGTGGTCACAGACAGACACTGCTCCTCTGCCGCGGTCCGTGTCAGGTCAGTGGTCACAGACAGACACTGCTCCTCTGCCGCGGCTCGTGTCAGGTCAGTGGTCACAAACAGTCCCTGCTCCTCTGCCGCGGTCCGTGTCAGGTCAGTGGTCACAGTCACTGCTCCTCTGCCGCGGCCCGCGTCAGGTCAGTGGTCACAGACAGACACTGCTCCTCTGCAGCGGCCCGCGTCAGGTCAGTGGTCACAAACAGTCCCTGCTCCTCTGCCGCGGCCCGTGTCAGGTCAGTGGTCACAAACAGTCACTGCTCCTCTGCCGCGGCCCGCGTCAGGTCAGTGGTCACAGACAGACACTGCTCCTCTGCAGCGGCCCGTGTCAGGTCAGTGGTCACAGTCACTGCTCCTCTGCCGCGGCTCGCGTCAGGTCAGTGGTCACAAACAGTCACTGCTCCTCTGCCGCGGCCCGAGTCAGGTCAGTGGTCACAGACAGACACTGCTCCTCTGCAGCGGCCCGCGTCAGGTCAGTGGTCACAAACAGTCACTGCTCCTATGCCGCGGCCCGTGTCAGGTCAGTGGTCACAGTCACTACTCCTCTGCCGCGGCCCGCGTCAGGTCAGTGGTCACAAACAGTCACTGCTCCTCTGCCGCGGCCCGTGTCAGGTCAGTGGTCACAGTCACTGCTCCTCTGCCGCGGCCCGTGTCAGGTCAGTGGTCACAAACAGTCACTGCTCCTCTGCCGCGGCCCGCGTCAGGTCAGTGGTCACAAACAGTCCCTGCTCCTCTGCCGCGGCCCGTGTCAGGTCAGTGGTCACAGTCACTGCTCCTCTGCCGCGGCCCGCGTCAGGTCAGTGGTCACAAACAGTCCCTGCTCCTCTGCCGCGGCCCGTGTCAGGTCAGTGGTCACAGTCAATGCTCCTCTGCCGCGGCCCGCGTCAGGTCAGTGGTCACAAACAGTCCCTGCTCCTCTGCCGCGGCCCGTGTCAGGTCAGTGGTCACAGTCACTGCTCCTCTGCCGCGGCCCGCGTCAGGTCAGTGGTCACAAACAGTCACTGCTCCTCTGCCGCGGCCCGCGTAAGATCAGCGGTCACAAACAGTCACTGCCCCTCTGCCGCTGCTTGCGTCAGACCAGTGGTAACAGTCACTGCTCCTCTGCCGCGGCCCGCGTAAGATCAGCGGTCACAAACATTCACTGCGCCTCCGCCCCACGACTGAACAGCGGATGTGGTCGTTGTAACCCAAGAATGAGCAATCTCGGATGTGCAGTTACCACCAGGAGGCCTGCAGTGATCCCTCTGTTCGGGCGGAGCGCAGGAACTAGGGCATCAAGGGGCGGGGGGCTGAGTTCCAACTTTCTGAAAAATTAATGGTGGTGCTATGGACATTATGGGCGGCTGGCCGGAAACAGGTAGATACAGATGGCTATTCTCCCTCCCCTCCCTAACTCTGGAGGACTTCTAAAGCCCCTAATCCTGGGCCACACGTCTTCAAATACACCAAATACACCATTACATCAAATATATCGCCGAACTAGAGACTACGTCCAACATCCCCGGAGCCCAGAGCAATGCGAGAGCGCACTGCCGCACACGTACCCGCCACAGACCGCGTACGCCCTCCTGCCGGTAGATGTCGGCGAAGCATCGCAGCATGCCCTTCTGCCGCACCGACTCGTTGGCCGCCTGCATGCGCACCTTCAGCACGTCCGTCGGGTTGGCGATCGAGCTGGAGACGACGCCTGTCGGAGCGCACGCCGGTCAGCCGGGTCAGCCGCGGCTCGGCGCCGCACACCGCGAACCAGTCGGCAGCGCCGCCCGGCCGCCGTGTGGTGGACAGGCACGACACGGCCGGCGGCTGGCGCGGCGGCCAGGCCGATGGCGTCAGGACGTGTCTGTCCGACGGGCAGGCACGACCCGGCCGTGACAGCCGGAGGAGGGCGTCGGGAGCAGCGCGCCCGGCCGCCGCTCACCTGCCACGATGGCGCAGCAGACGTTCGAGAGCAGCGTCTCGTCGGACGGGTTGGGACAAACGACGCCCTTCATTGAGTAGTAGACGCCGAACTTGATGGAGCCGTATGTCGACTGGCGCAGAACCGCCGGCGAGATGCTGCCGACCATTCGTGAACGTGAGGGGTGCCGCGCAACACGGTCAGACGTGAGAGACGGTCAGACGTGGGGGTACTGTATAAAACGGTCAGACGTCACGGGTATTGTGTAACACGGTCAGACGTGAAGGCTGTGTAACACGGTCAGACATGGGGGGGGGGATACTGTGTAACACGGTCAGACGTGACGGGTACTGTGTAACACGGTCAGACGTGAGGGCTGTGTAACACGGTCACACGTCAAGGGTACTGTGTAACAAAGTCAGACGTGAGGGGCCCTGTGTAACACGGTCAGACGTGAGGGGTGCTGTGTAACACGGTCAGATGTGAGGTGCACTGTGTAACACGGTCAGACGTGAGGGGTACTGTGCAACACGGTCAGACGTGAGGGGTGCTGTGTAACACGGTCAGATGTGAGGTGCACTGTGTAACACGGTCAGACGTGAGGGGTACTGTGTAACACGGTCAAACGTGAGGGGTACTGTGTAACACGGCCAAACGTGAGGGGTACTGTGTAACACGGCCAAACGTGAGGGGTACTGTGCAACACGGTCAGACGTGAGGGGTGCTGTGTAACACGGTCAGATGTGAGGTGCACTGTGTAACACGGTCAAACGTGAGGGGTACTGTGTAACACGGCCAAACGTGAGGGGTACTGTGCAACACGGTCAGACGTGAGGGTAATGTGTAGCACGGTCAGACGTGGGGGGTGCTGTGTAACACGGTCCGACGTGGGGAGTACCGTGTAACACTGTCAGACGTGAGGGGCACTGTGTAACACGGTCAGATGTGAGAGGTACTGCACAGCAGTCAATGCTGACATGGACAGTTGACCGTCAGAGACGCTGGCGTGACCGAGGACCACGAGAGGTTGGGGCGACAGTGACCCCTGGATCGTCAGGTAACCCGTAACGGCACACAATCCACACGAGACACGGTGTGATTTCGGTGCTGCGCAGCGTGTAAAAATACGTTAAGTTCACGCGGTAGAGTCGTTTCAAAGTCGGCAGCGGAGATTGGCTATTCAGCTACAGCGACCGCATGGCGTAACAATGGGGCCATTGGCCATCCTTGCATTGCAATTCATGACGCCGGAACGCCGGGCGATTCACGTTCAAGTCGTTTGTCGTTTGGGATTTGTTCGTACAAGTAAAAATATAGTGCAGCAATAGGTCACGCCCTTTTGACATGGTGTCACATCATCATTTCATATCATCGTCATCATCATCACATTTAAATGCCGCGGACTATACATCTCACAAACTACCGTCATATCTAAGGAAGAGAAGACCGACCATGACATTAAGTTAAATCTATTCGAAGTTCCCAACGTGTGCAACCAGCCTGTCCGACACCGGGTCCCGAGCGACACTGACCGGAAGGGGCGCGGCACGAGGCCGGTGCGTACTGACCCCCTGTAGAGGGCGCGCAGACCCTCCTCGCGGCTGATGCGCACCAGGGCGTGACTCATGCCGCGGTAGCGCAGCTCGCGCAGCCCCTGCGTCCGCTGGCCCTGCACCTGCAGCCGGGTCTTGGTCGTGTCGATCGGGAACGTGCCTGTGACGCCAGCGGAACGAGCGCGGGTCAGCTGGCGGGCGGGCGCGGCGGCCGCGGGGACGCCAGCTGGACAAACTGCACTGACGCGGGGCGGCAGGCCCAGCTCAGGGCCGGCGACACACAACAATGGACCCGAAGGGGGTCAGCTGCACACTCTCAAACACAAACGTTACTCTCATCTAGAGCAGTAAGTCACTGAGGGGTCATACTGGGTGCCGTAGGACTATTGAGGCACGCAGCCGCTGACTGGAAATGGTCACGATGATTTCTGAACAAGCAAACGCTAAATGAGGTCACCATTTCATGTCCGCCCGGTGCGAGGGTAAACACCCACACCCAGCATGAGACACGATGCAGCCTGCAGCCCGGTTGTGAAAGGCGCCATGGCTCACATACCACTCGCTAAAGGGCTGACAGAAAAAACCCTTAAATGGGCATAGGAGACCTCATTCCCTGCCGGCGTGCCGTTCATCGAAAACGAAATCAGCAACGACGTACCTTTGCTTCTTTTTTATCACAGCGCTTTTCTAAATGCGAATGTGAATTCCAATGTCATAGACTGAAAAACAAAATCATTCTCTACAACTGTTCAACTGCCCACTAAAAGCGTTCGGCCGCAAAGACCCGCAGAGCTGCCTGACACGGTGGCATGTCCAGCTTGGCAATAACAAGCTACTTAAAAAAAAAGATGAGCAGGCCGGCACGTCAAGAAACGCTGAGACATAGGCTCATGACAGCGCAGGCTTTCTGGGTCACGCTAGCTGCTTCGCTTTACAATTGCATGTGTGCTTATCACATTGGGACGTCCTGCGCATGCATAATGCACATACCAGCTAGGCGCAATCACCATCCGAATCTAGTATAACATTCATGTAGACAGAAATGCATTTCGCAGTTGCAAGTAGAAATGGAGAGCTGTCACGAGCGGGTTCATCAGGAACGTGTACCAAGTATGGACAGTAAATGCATGGAAAATGGACGCTTGCAACACGGCCAACGCCGGCCGTATGCATAAGCCAACACCTGTCCAAGGTGGGTGGTACGTGGTGCGAGCGGACAGGGCCGGACGGGGTCGGGCAGGGTCGGACGGGGCCGGGTGGCGGCCGCCCGCCGCCGTTGCCGCACTCACAGCACTCGGCGAAGCAGGACGAGACGCCGCCGTAGAGGAACGGTCGCCAGTCCCGCGGCGCCATGCCGCTCCGGCCGGGTGCTGAAACAGGTCGGGTCAAGTCAGGTCAAGTAAGGCCACGTCACGTTACGTCGCGTCACGTCGCGCCAGCGGCCGCACCACCAGCTCGGTGCAAGGCGAACTGCTTCGTCACGCCTCACACGGCGCTGACGTCACAGACACTTGACGGCGGTGGACGCTGCGCCATCAGCCATAAGAGCACTGTACACACACAAGTCTATCGCCAACCTCACGGGAATTCCGCACTGGGATTCTGCAAACTTCAGCAGACAGGCAGCAAAAGCAAACACAAACCGAAGCTCACGATCGCGCCCAGCCGTTCCATGTGTTTGTTTACAACTCGGCTTGGTTGCCCGAGACACCGCAACCCTACAAGGGCTGTGCTTCACAACATGTGAGGGGAGGAAAACCAGATTAGCACACTAATGCTCTCACATACGCGGCTGCGCAGTTGCAAAAAAAAAAAACTCCCCGAAATAAAGCAGACGACCGTCAACGGGCCATGCCTGCCAATTTCACTTCCTTTCGCCATCTCTATCGCCAACGTTTACTGCTTAGCTTTTAGCTTCGCCGGTCTCACGCACATCGTACCGTAGAGAGACTCACAGCCAATGCACGACAGCGCAGAGTCGGCAACGAGCCGCATGAAGGGAGCTGAGTTGAGTTGAGTTGAGCTGAGTTGAGTTGAGTTGGGGTGAGATGAGGTGAAGTGAGGTGAGGTGAGCTGACTTGAGTTAAGATGCGCTGAGTTCAGTTGAGTTGAGTCGAGTTGGGTTGAGTTGAGTTGAGTTGAGTTGAGTTGAGATGAGGTGAGGTGAGGTGAGGTGAGGTGAGGTGAGGTGAGGTGAGGTGAGGTGAGGTGAGGTGAGGTGAGGTGAGGTGAAGTGAGGCGAGGTGAGGTGAGGTGAACAGTAACCTGGGATCGGCACGAGATAGTCACAGTCGGCCTCCAGGACGCGCCGACAACCCGGCCATACCGCAGCGAGTCGATCACACAGCTGGGCAAACCTTTTGGCGAACTGATGTACATGGTGAGACATTCAAACAGGTTCCAATCAACGCGCTTCGATCGAAAGCCTTCTACAACCGGTCTTTCTGGGTACTGATATTGCAACAACCAAACGGCATCGACCCGCCCACATCACAACGCCACCGCACGGGCAGCGCACACCAGCCGGTAAACGGGTGCCAGAAGACGGCTGTACCGTCCAGCGCACGGCGGCCGTCCGGGCCACCGGCAAACACACCGTTCAAGGTCACGGCCGGTCATTGGTCCGCGGCTTCAGTCTAAAGTTCAAGCGGTTAATGGAGCGTCCGAACTGTGACGATCCGCAGTGCGGCTGGCCCGTTCCGACCCTCGGCTGGCGCGGCGCCAGCGGCCCCGACAGCGGCCGGCCGGGGGTTCTGAAGCACCGCATCGGGCCGCGCGCCGTCAGCAGACCCTCACGACGCTTGCAGCACGTGCAACCACACACGGGGCCGAGGAGAGCGGCGCAGATGAAGGGCCGGTCAGGGCCAGGGCCAAAGCCCACCCACTCCACCACCGCCTCTTACCCGTGGCCGTTCAGCGACAGAAGTCGGGCGGCGACGGCCGTTTCCGGCCGAGCAGCTGACCGGCACCGGAGCGGCCGTCCGTGACCAGGCCGTACCCGTCCCCCCTGCGGGCCGCGGCGGCGACGACTGCGGCGGCGCGCGGCGTGCGGCGCCCGGAGATAATAACAGTCCGCGCTCACGCACGGCCGGCCGGCCCGCAGGCGGGCCCTCGGGCTGCCGGCCGGCGCGAGCGGACGCCGCTCGGGCGCTGCCCGGCTCCGCGCACCGCCCCGCGCTGGCCAATCGACGAGCAATTCCGACAGACCGGGAGTGGCGACACCGACCAGTCGCTGCCGACGCCAGGACGCGGCCCATGGGTCTGTGAACCGGCTGGTGTGCTGCACGATAACGTGATGCGGCAGATAATCCGCCCCGAAGTTTGCTGGCTTCTGGCCTCGGCCAGCCCACAGGCTCGCGTAATTCGGCAGCGCAGCAGCTCGCGGCAGCTGGCCGTTGCAGGCTCGCCCGTCACGTCGTCTGAGCGTGGCACCTGAGGGACTTCCGCTGCCGTTCACGTGCGCTCCCCGTGCAGACCGGTCCCGGCGTCACGTGGTCGTACGATCACGTGACACGGCCCGCTGCCAACAGGCGGAGGGGGAGGGGGGGGGGGGACACCAGGATGCCGGAAGGATCGCGGCGTCGAGACGGCAGCCCGCGGGGGCGCCTCAGCCCGCCACACTGGGTCACCAGCAGTCTTCCCGTCGAAGGTGGGACGTCCGGCGTCACCTGACTACTGACAGCAGAATCATTACGCCACCTTGTCGCGCAGCTGGAGAAGACTAGGTCGCAATCGGCGCTGCTATATTTGTCTGCATTCGGAACCTCCCAGTCGCAAAATATTGCAAAATCCCACCCGCTCAGAGTGAACCAGTACATCTGGATTTTGCACAACGATTCAAACAGTTGCACACGTTCATTGCTATTTCTTGTCATCGGATCAAGGCAGAGAAATACTCATACCACCTCGCATTTGGAGTTCAATTTTGCACCTCGTTGGCGTGCCAAATGACGTAGCTTGCGAGCAATGCAATCGCAAGCTACGTGAGACTAGCACATTTATACTTATGTGGTGTACGGTCAGCCATACCTTTCGCAAGGAATAAGTACCAGCCGCGTTTAGACCCGAAATACCCATTTTCACCCGTGCATTATATATTTTATACTTGTATTACATCACACGGTCGAAGGAAATGTTCCACACCAGAATTTATTGCAAGCAAACACCACATATGACGAAATAAGCTCACTTATAACTATTGGTATACTGGACTGCTCTAGAAAACAACTTTGTTTAGCGACCGCGCTCATCAATGCGTCATTGACTGCGTTTTGGGAGTTTGTATAACGTCGAGGTGCTGCCAAACAACCCGTGCAAAGTTGCCATCCTTGCATTCACTCGTACTACGTGAAACTCGCCGATATATGGCAGTGCGAAGCTGGAAGAGTTCGCTGAGCTTACTATCGCTATGTACCCATGTCTGGTCCTTTTCCATGGTCTGCCGTCACAAGGCAAAAAGCCGTATCTCCGAGCTTTTACGATCATAAAGTTGCTCAGAAAGACAAAAAAGGGGTTTCTCCCATATTGAAGGGTGAAGTTAGCACAGGCAAGGGCAAAAATACACCATTCTGACCGCGTTTACATGGCCAATCCTAAGATAGCGTTTTTGAGACGCTTAAACGTAAGGTTTTTAAATTAAGATGCAAAAATGTTTTGCCTTGCGGAAAGAGTCGTCACCCATGGGACAATCCGGCAGGCAAAAAGCCGTATGTGTCAAAAAGCCGTATCTTGGAGTTTCTCGACTGAGTCATGGGGTGGATTTCGCAGGCAAAATGCTGTATCGCTTAACCCTGCACATATTTTACATTGCGTGGGGGTAATAATGATTCGAGATATAGGTGAAAATAATGCTTCGGTGTTGAATTGAGAGACAGAAATCGCCGGGCCCGATGACCCGTACCCAACATGGCCCGGCCTGGCCTACCATAAGTTTTGGGAAGTGATAAACACCGAATCTTGTGACCGTTCTCTTCATACAATGCTTTACGTTAGGTAAGGTCACGTCCGGTACTTGCATTTGTTTGCACTTGGGACCCCGAATCCAAGCAGAATGCTGCATTTCGGGCGTGGGGTCTCTTAGTGCATGGGTCTGAAAATGTCGCCAGATTGCCAGCTCCAGCGGAAGCTGAGGGTTAACTGAAAGAATGCCTCATACTTATCGAATGTATTGCTAACAGATGTAAACATTAAGCAAATGCAATGACACCGCAGGCAACCTGATAACCATAAAATGTATCACTCACTGCCACTGAGCCTCATCACCTTTCTGCCATCAAGCCCCAGAATGCATCAAACGGAGCCGCCTTCACATGTTCCGCTCCCGAACGGAACACCTAACTGATGCTGATGGAAAAGTCTGGTAACAAGCGGTGTTACAGAAAAAAAACAGATACACAAACTACATCACAAAACCATACCCAAAATAACAGATCCACAGCTGACGTGCGTTGCAGTATTAGGAGCTTCGAATGGAAGGAGCAGTTATCAAACACGTCCAGGGCCATCAGGAGCCCTGTATGATTCGCTTAGTCGTTCAGCTCCCGAGCGGACGAACCGGTCAGGCTCTCCCAAAAGGCACGCCTCTGTGGCGGCAGCAGTGGGAGGAGCTGCTGCTTCAATGTCTCCAGCTTTGCTCTGTTGACACCGCGCGGACGCATCTTTGCCGCTGGCTGTTCCCGTGGGAAGAATGTCGTTTTTGCTAGGTCGAACGCACGCCAGCTGTTGGATGAGTGGCTTACTTTGGTGAACACCAGGTCCTGGCCACGGCGAACCTGGATCACCTTGCATGAGGCCAGATATGGTCGGCAGTTTTCCTCGGTTAGGAGCTTCAGCTTCTGGGCACTCACGCCACTTGTGATGTTGAGGAAGTCATTAGGCTTCATCTCGATCACCTTCGACGAGTCTTCGATAACGGTTGTAAAGTCCTCCATGTCTGCCACCACTCTACGACGCTTCAGGCTCTTGTTGCAGACCTGGTGGACTGCGTCCGCCGACATCGAAGTGTGGCCCTTTTGGAGGAACTTGAGGGTCACCTGATTCAGCATCTTACCAGGCTTGTTGACGGCCTGCATGAGGCCTGTAATAAGTATCCAATTTTTGTTCTGCCCGGAACAATTATCTAGCCAAATCGTGATGGCCTCCACATCTCGCTGCAGCTCGATGTACCGAACGAAGGCGGAACATACGTCAGCCGCGTCCCGCCCCGCTGTACCCTCATGCCACACGATCGAAACAGCCTTCGGTTCTCGTTTGCCGAGCGGTGCAAACGTCTCGTTGTAAACCACAAGTCGAGACGTGAATATGGCGACTTTGTGCGGGAGCTGTGGCAGAAGGAAGATCCGCATCATATCTGCGGACACGACAAGCTCAT